CTAAAGCCACCCAGAAACCTGATATAAGTTTTCATCTATTTCCATCCAAAAACAGTTAACTACTACAAGAAGTTTATAAATGTAACTGACAGATGAAACCAATTCAATCACAAAATGTCAAAAAGTTACAAAATATATAATTAATATGTTCCAAATATTCTATCCCTTTAGATTATAACAGAATATTATATAACTTATGTCACAATATATATATTTTAGATATTCAGAGTATAACATTATAGTAATAAAAATTAAACTTAGTAAAGTTTTGATTTTTATTACTATTTGATTTTGAATGATTTTCTTCAATTCTTTCAACATAATAAAGATAATAAAAATTGCAATATTCTTTCAGAAAATGTACTCAGAATTTCAAAAAAACATTTTTTGTTCTATTCTTGCATCTCTCCCTTCATTTCTGGGATGAAATGACACAAAATTGACCCCTCCCAAGCCTTTAGAGGGAGACTAATATATATCATTGGTTAATGGGTGTAAAGTCATCACAATATAAGTGAAGTTTGTTCATTTGCAGTATCCTGTAACAATAAAGTGCAGAGCAGTATAACATTCATTATGAGGGTATTTCAATCTTGAATAGGCAAAAATCATTTTAGAATTTATTTCTGTTCTTTAGATGCCTAAATTGAATCTAATTAATAACTGATTACTATAACTTCAACAAAAATGCACAATAAAAGGTATTTTTTTTTAATAATAAAAACAAATATTAAAACATTAAAATGTCACACTGTAAGTAGTCCTTTTATACTATTTATAAGTTTGCAATACTATGAAGTTTGTCACAAAAATTATTTGTTTTGCTTGTCTTTTTACTTAATACACCATGTATATGAAAAAAGATATTAAACTAAAATGATAAAATGGTTGACGTATTTTACACATTAAAAATACATGGAAGAAACTAAATATGTCTCTATAAAGGAAAACTGTTTTTTTGGAGATTGGACACAATACAAATGTGAAGATGTATTTAGTTTCTTTCAAATATTTTATTTAAATAAAATGATAAAATTTTGTTTTGATGATAAACTTTTAATTTCATACAGTTAAAAAAAACTTTAAGTTGAAGCTCTTCAAAACATCAAAACTAGAGAGAAAAAGTCTATAGCTAGATAAAGGCATGGACGTGTTCCATGCCTTTATCTAGCTATAGACTAAAGCCAATATATGACTTAAGCCAATTTTTCCTTTAATCCAAAATGTCTTTTTTTTTTTTTTTTATATAACTTGTTTTATACAAGTTTATCATAAAATTTATTGTATTTTTTAGAGTATTGGAATTTATTAATTTCAGTATCATAATCTTCCTAAATAAGTTTAAAAACAGAAATTGAGACACAGTCTTATTTTAGATTATTATTATTCTATTGTATAATACACTATAATCACTTTATCAGAAAAGAAACTATCATTATTATATGGTTAAAACTCAAAAGTTTCATCATAAATAAATTTCCTTATAAAGATATCATAACATATTATTTTATTGCATAATTTATATAATAACTAATTACTTGATAAGAACTGTCAATACCAAATTCATAGAAATGTAATTCAACCTAAGTTCACTAATTGTTTTATATAAATCCATATAAAAGGGCATTCTAAAACTCAAATTTATAAAATTTCAAATAAATATAATAATTTCTAATGAATGATTCCTATTACAACAAAAGCTTTCAAACTAAGAAAATATTTTTCAAATTCATTGATTATATATAATATTACTGAGTTATATCTGAGAAACAAAGGGCTTTTTTAAAATATATATGTAATTTTAAGTTTTATAAATCTTTATAATAAATACAATTTTATAAACTTCTCACTGATGCATTATGATAATTTGGACAGAAGAAAAATAAAAAATAATACTTGCAATAAGAGATTTTATATTTTAATTAAGCAATAAACTTTCTGTACAGTGATTAAGAAAATGCAAATTTATAGTATTTAATTAAACAAATAAAGTTATTTCTCTCGAGCAAAATAAAATACTAAACAACTGAGCAAAAAAAAATACCTATTCTAGTAAAAATGTCAAGAATTTTATTGCAATTAATGTAAGTGCACTGTAATCACTAAAATTTATTCTTTTAAAATTAAGTAAATGCACAGAATATAAAATTATATATATCTGAGAAATCATTATAATATAGTTTGGACTCAAGTTAATAATCCAATATATTTTATATCCATTAAAAATAAACATTTTTTAAAAGTCAATGTTTATTTTTTATTTGAAATAAACAAAAATAATTTATTTTAAATTGAATAAGCTAATAAATTCATTAACTGAAAAATTTCATTAATTCTTCTAAGTAACATATTTATTAGCTTAAGTTCTAAGGTAAATGATTTAATTATAATCCAGTAATTCAGCATAGGCATTAATAATAACCTTTATTACACCTTATAAACTATATTTTAACACAATTCAGTCTTTCCATATACTATCTCATATTCACAATAAACAACTATTAGTCAATATCCTTTTTAGCAATTATCATTTGTTGAATTTTATACTATTTCTTTTCTTTTAGCAAGAACAAAATTTTATTTGTGTTAATTTCAATTCTAAAATGTTATGATTAATTCATCAGTTGAAATTAATTCTAAAAATTGCCCTTCCTTTTTTTTGAAGCCGTTGCAAATTATATCTAAAGATCTTGGAATGTTTTTATTTCATCAATCAAAATTAATCAATAATGGAAATTTTTATAAGTGAATTTTGTAATTATCAAAAAATTCTTAACATATTAAATGAAAAGTATATAAATGCCAAAATTACTGTGACATTCAATAACTGGTAGAAGATTGATTTATGGTAATATGATAATATATAACAACTTATATTTACATTTCAAAAGGTTTTACTTTTGCTATAAAAAAGTATAACATAAAATATAAAAATTCTAAAATATATATATATATATGTTCTGTCCATATTAATAAATGCTATATATATGTAGAGCGTTCAGTAATATAGACAGGGCATAAAAAAACCATGTCTACAATCTATAAGACAATGCAATAATTATAATACAAAATTTTCCAATATATAGATTTATATAATTTCATGTATCAATACAAAAACATTAGCTTTTTTACTGTTTTCTCGCAAAATACCTCATAAAAGTAATTTCCTATATACTGCTTTATATCAAGTTTATTTCTCAAACTTTTTCCATAATATCAACACAAAACTTGCAATTAACCTTATTAATTGACAATATACTTTCATCTATCCCAAACTTTTTTAAAAGCAGTTTTATTAAGAACTTAAACTCAGTTTTTAGTTTTGTTCCCTATATTGATCAAACGATTTATTAACACCACTTAAAATACTCTAATAGTTTAATTGCATAATAATATAAATGAGTTTTCAACAACACAATGCAAGCTAATTAAATTAAATTTTAAAAAATCAATCGAAAAACAAGCAAAGCATAATCCAAACATCGACTAGTCAGAAAGCGTATCTTAAATGCGGGAGAAGTTGTAACAAATTTTGAAAAATTATCAATTTTTTTCAGCCCAAATGTAGCAGTTTCTAATACCGATTCATAAAGTATTTATAAAACTATATATATTATACTATATATATATATATATATTAACTGAGAAAGTATCATTTAAATTTCTCATTGCATATATGCAAAATTTTTTATGGTATTTATATATAAAAATCTAAATTTGTAAGCTTACAACAAGCAGATGTTGAAATTTCATCCCATCTTTATTTCAAGAGCAAATTTTCTACTCTCTCATGATTTTCAATGAAAATGAATCATACAATGGCTAAATTTACTTCTTCTACATTCAATCATTTATATAATAAACGTATTTTTAACCATAGTTAACACCATTAACTTATATTATTTACGTGCACTTCAACTATATCAATTCGAACTGAAAATCAAAACTTCAAATCATAATAATAAACGCGTTGGCTTCGTAAAGATGATGATGATGATGATGATGATTGGCACAGAAATCGTCATCATCGTCGTCGTAGTAGTCATCATCCTTGGCTCTTCTTACGTTTTGGCGTTAATCAAATAATTAAAGATTAAAAAACCGAAACAAAATCGAACGTAAAGTATACGAAGTTAAGCCTAGTATTAGGCTTAGCTATCGGCAATTACCTTCTCTGGTATCCATTTCTTCTAATTCTAATTGTTGATTGTCTCTGTCATTCATGGTTTGATTTAAATGATTCATAACAGTCGTATTTAAGTCACTCGTATTATTTAAATGACGCGATTTCTTGGTTTTAGGGGTGACCGTACGTTCCTTGACCGACGAACCTGTCACCGTATTCTTACCAGACACGGTCACTTTGAAATGCTTACTCGCTATTCGCCCAATGTCTGCTGATATCGACTCCCCCAGTAAGGGGTAATCACCAAACACTCTTTCTACTACAAACTAAATACTTAGGCTTACTAAAATTTTCTCAAATGTCGAACGTTCTTTTCCGTTGTAGAGACCGAAGTCGTGCAAATAAACAAGATGGCGTATTTGCCCTGTGCGATGCATTATGGTATCGAATAATATTCGATAAAAATGTAATAAATATTAACCAAAAACACTCAATTAATACAATCTACTCCATAATCGACACGAAAATATATAACATTTGCTATTATATCGTAAAATAGGTAAAAAGTTATTGTGTCAGATGTCCCTGATTTAAAAAAAAATAAAAAGTGTAAAAATTTTAATAATAAATAGAATTTATATTTTTAAATTGATTTCAACTTCGATGTTATTAATAATTTAATATTAATCAGTTAAACGGATAAATAAAAAAAATTAATTGATATATAATATAATGTGTAAATTTTTAAAACGTATAAATCCTCATCGAAAATATTAAATAATATAAATCGCCGTTATAAATGCATTAAAACGTTATAGATAGTGGAAAAAATAATAATTACGATTCGGTTTTAATGAAAGAAAAATATTTTACCCATAAGGCCAGACGGACTTGTTTAGAAAGATGGAGTCGGTATCTACGCAAAAATGAAGGAAGAGGGGTGTGGTGGAAGAATTCCGTAAAAATCGTCGATTATAAAGTTAATTAAGTAAATTGTGTTAATTAATTAACTGTGTATCTTTAAAAAGTAAAATATGAGCGACGGACACGATCATGAAGACGAAATTGAACCGTGGTTAAGCCTAACAAGTTGGGAGCAACAATGTGTTGAAGAACTGGAAGGTTCTCCCGATTTAGAATCTCAAACAGAAAACGAAAAAGACTGTTTAGCACAAAAACTCTGGTTTTTATTTCAAAATGCAGCTACGTGTATAGCTCAGCTTTATAAAGGTAAGTACTTGTGTAAATGTACGTATGTAAGAAAAAATATTTAGGCCTACATATCTCAAGGACAAGTATCAGATTCTTCACAGACTCAGCTGTGAAGCATCAACAGGATTTATTCGTTATTATTTTTAAAAAAATGTTTACTAAGAAGTGAGATTATTGAGTAATTGCTTACATTCAGTAAATAAATTTGGGTGTGTAAATACTCATATTTCATAACTTAAGCATTTATAAATAAGTAAATTGTGTTGACTTCTTATTCAATTGAATATAATTTGGAGGTCAAGTTTACATTTTTAATCTTGTAGAACTTTTTATTAGAATAGCTATGTTAAGTCGAATGCCCGATATGAGCAATTATTTATTGTGACGTGGTCTCAATGCCAGGCTGCAAGTTTTAATTTATTTAATTTATAATATATGCTCTCCACCTCAAATTAGTAGTGGCTTGCCCCTGTATATCATACTTTTCCTTTAACAATAGAGTCATGCCGGTCTAATGCCTTTGGGAGAAATTTTTGAATTAAATAACATGACGTCCAGTTTGTATCAGAAGTTAGTATATAGTTAATCGGGGCCTCATGCCCGAGGTTTCCATATCTGGTCTCGTCTTTTGTCTATCCGACTGTGTTCTCGAGATTAAGGAAAGACAGACAAGACAAGAAATGGTGGGAATTTATAGGTCTACAGTTTTTTCAAATTGCAGCCCAAAAAGAAAACCTTCTCAATTAATTGGATTATACGAATCTCTTCACCAGCATAATTACTTTTTGAATGTTTTAGCAGCCATTATAAGGATATATATACGTCTATGTAGAATGGTTAAAGTTGTTAAAGAATATTCTGATATGTATTTTGTATGTATCCAGACGATGTCTACTAGAACAACTGATAACATCTGACAAATAAATAAATTTTATTGGTGAAGGCTTATCTAGGAACCTGTTTATTTAAGATATATAGCAATTTCATTATATATGATAATTCAATTTGGCATAGATATACAGAATTAAGTAAATAGACCACCTCACTGATTGTGATTAAAATTAAAAATTATAACAAAATATTTAAATTAGATAACTTTTCTAGATGAAAAACTCTACTTTAGTATTATATCTAATAGATATTTGTGTGTGTGTGTGTGTTAAATTAAGCCATGCTTGCGTAAACTAAAAATGTGTATTATTATAATATAGTATAAGTATGGATATATAAGTGTATATAGTATATATATAATTAAAACAATAGTATTAGGGATTTAATAAATGTAAAATACTTGTATTGATTCAATGCAGAATTTATGCAATAAATGCAGAGAAAAGAAAAATAATAAATTCAGTTATTAAAAATAATTTTCAACTTTGTCAAATGATACATTTTTAAATACGGTAAAATATTGTTAAAATTATTAATATGAATTGACCTATTAATAGAAAGTCATTTGGTTGTAGTGATTGTATCACCACTGCAGGTAGCAGCATAAAAAATATATCACTGATCTTGCTACTTGATGGCATAACTTTACATATGTTTTTTTTAATGAATAATAAATGTGTTTATATATGCATGTATGTAAAAAGAAGTTTGAAGTAATTTTATTTTAGAAATATATAAAATTTTTATCCCTAGTCTCAGAGTTCAGAATATCTTTCCTTGATGGCCCTGCCCATCATTTGGGATACTACATTTCAAATGTGGAATGCAACTGTTTAAATATGTTATCAACAATATTTCTGATCATGATTGATTTGTACTTTTATCTATTACTGTTATTCTCATTGACTATATTAAAGGTGTTTTATATTTAACTAGTAGCCCGGGACGCCCCCTAGTGGGCGTTTTAGCAGTATTACAAATTCCTATGAGGCATGTTTAATGCACTTAATATATGAAAGTTGTGTGTGCTTAATTTTTAAAAGTTTGATGCACTTAATATATATAAATGTATACAACTGTTCATCTTAGAAAGTAAACTTAAAAAATCAATATGCAAACAGCAAACAGTATTTGTACATGAGAAAGTGAAGCTATTCTTTACTCAAAATTGTTCAATAGAATTAATATAATTAAAAAGTCAAGTATAAATATATACAAATCTTCATGTTAAAAAGTAATGTTAACAGATCAATACATAGCAAACGTTATTTGCCCCCTAGTGAACATTACAGGCATTCCGTGACAATAATAAATTCCTATTACAAATATAATGAATTATTTATATTGTTATATTGACCAAATAATAATTTATTGGCCAAATGAATAATAATAATTTATATTGTTCATTTAAATAATAATTAAAATTGCTAATTTAATTTGAATGTTTTAAATATGACACACGATACGGGCGCTTCTAGTGTTCGTTATCAAACGGTTACGGGACGGACGGACACGTTGAATGGGTTATATATATAGATACAAATAGGCAACAATATTAGCAGCAGCAGCAGCACATCATAAGCAAGTTATGGTAAGCATCATTACAAATGTGCTAATAGTAAAACTTACAGTATCATCTCATAAAGTTCTTTTAACTATTATTACTTTTTATGTGCACATTATAAGCACATATTATCTATATACAGTGAAACCTTGATCTATTGTTCCCATATAAATTGTTTTACCACATCTATCAGTTGTTTTCTCCTGTTTGAAATAAGGACCCATATATATAATGTTCATTTTTCTTGTATTTTTCATTCCTGCATAGTTTGTATTTTAACTAAAAGAAAAATAATATTCCATATCAATTGTTCTACCCACAGTAGAGGATGCTAAATTGAGAGACTGATTTTTGTGTAGCTCTCCATATTTAAAAGTTAAAAAGATTCATACACAAAACTGGTTGCGTTTTCTGGTAAAATCACTTAAAGCCACTTTGTTAAAAGACAGTTAAGTTATTTCTGCTTTAAGTTAGCTGCTGCAGCACTAGTGTAGTGAGGTTCTGAGTACTGAAAACAGAAGTTAAGATGGCTACCATCATAAATTATAAGCATATTACATACATAAAATTAAGATTGTGACATACAAAAATGTGTTTTGAACTTGTTATCCAAAAAATTAGAAATGTACTTTTCCATATAATCTTTTATACTGATATCAATGTCTTCAGATTTAAACACTGCTAAAACATGCATTGTCAGGTGAAGAAACCAGTTATGTAGGGGCCACAGCTAGAAGGTTATGTTCACATATTCTTGAACATCAAGAAGACATCAAAAACACCAGGCCAGTTATAGAATTAGCAAAGAAAGTGCTTGATCACAATTACCAGCTGCTCTGGAGCAAAACAAAATTACTGAAATGCTGCAACAAACATAAAGAGCTATTTGTTTGGGAGAGAGTCTATATTTCTGTCACTGAACTGTGCAACTCCCCAATTCTCGAATTACCAGAAACTTGGGTAACAGCTTTTAAACAACTCAATCCACGATGTTGAGGTCTTTGTTACTCAGATGTCTTTTTGATATATCTTATACTTTATGCGTGTTTTGGGCTCTTTTACGGCCTTATTCTTCCTAAAACATGCTTATTTAAAACTGTTTTCCTTCCGCACGCTATGATGCACAAAAGGATTTTTAAATAACATTCGAAAACAAAAAATCAGTTATTCCGTTGGAAATATTGTTCGATAATTTCGAAAATCCGAAATTTGTGAAACCATCAGATTAGAGTTCGAAAAATAAAATATTTAATTTTGGAAATAAAAAAAAGTATGATGATATCAGATTTGTGCTCTAAAGCGATTGCAGAATAATCAAACTTCAGCTTCTTGAGCATCCTTTTGGTTTCTGTGATGCAAGAAAAAGATGATCTGCTTTTATTCTGTGAATACGTCTTCAGTGTTTGTGTTGCTTCATAACACTTACCAAATTGATTATTTCTAGCTTCGTATAGAATAAGGAAGAGGAGTTTACCTTTAAACTTGATTGTTACCCAATGACTATGTAGAGACTAAGCATATACAGATTAGATACTCATAGCTATTAAATGGTGGTAGTCATGTTTTTGTTGCCACATTTTGCACAATTCTGCAATAGATATATTATTAAATTAATTATATTATATTAAATCTGTCTGTATTTTATATTTAATAATATAACTGTACAGGTCACAAATAAAAATAGTGTGTCCCAAAAAAATTTTACCATTTTAAATTATTGTAATTATGTTGATTTATTATTTGAGAATGTTGTGATGTATATTAAAACATTGGAAAACTGTCAAAGCTTCATATTTGCCCATTACAATTTCTCAATGTGTGCACCTCGTATTATACAGTACCCATCTAACTGATACTCAAATTCTTCCTATGCTCATTATAGCATATCTATTATCACTTCAGCCACAATTCTACGTTTCCTGCAGATTACTTGTATCACAATGATGATTGATTCAGGCTTTCTAGAATAGGTTTTTTTTCTTTCACAAAACACAGAATGCCTTCTCTGTTATGGAGTTGCCATTTTCTTTAATGGTATTTCCTAGCAGGAGTAGACAACAAAAAATTTGAATTCACATAGATGAAACTTGGACAGTTACTCTAGCAATTGGTGTATGTTGTACGCTTTTCATATTATAATTAACATAATTATAATAATTTGAAATAGTAGGCTAGCATTTATTTTGGAATACTCTGTATTTATTTTTTATGTAATTGCTCAATATAATCAAAAATATTTATTTTTTACAAACTACAATTGATAGCTACATTTTCCATACACTTGCATAGTCATAAATTGAAATTGATATATTTAAATTATTTCCAAATCTATCTTGGTGAGATAAAAAGGCACTTAAATATATGGTCAATAGATTATTTACACCAGCTATAAAATTAGAAGATTGTAAAATAAAAATCTTTTACAGCATTTTACATAATGTGATCTGTAAGCAAATACTAGTTTGAGGGAAAAAAAATGTTGATCTGCAAAAAATTTTAAAATCAGAATATTAAATTTCAAAAAAGTAATAAAATTTTTATTACAAATGTCATCTACAAACAA